CCAGACTCAACGGGCTTGCACCGCTGGCCGGGGTGGCACACGTCCGTGTCAGTACACGTGTGCTCTCCCGCTCCGGCTGCTACAGCGAGCGCTGTCTGGTAAGTGGTCCACCCTATCGAGCTGTTGCAGTGCTGCTTCAGCGCTTGCAACGACGCGCGGAGTGCACGAGTGTTGGCCGCGTCGATCGCCGCCACCTTAGCTGCTGCCTGCTCTGCCGCGCCAGCATCCAGCATGGCCCGTACTCGCTCCATCAACACGGGGTCGTTCTGCATCAAATCCATCGCGCTGGAACGACGCTCCTCCGCAACCTGCGTACAACGTATCAGTAGTTTTTGGAGGAGTCGGGGGAACATATGAGTGAGCGGCAAATAAACACCACGGTAGCAGCGTCATTGCAGCAGTTACAGCAGTCGCCAAACCCGTGCAACTTTTAATGCGCTTTCTGTGCTTAAGATATCGACGTGGTGGAATGGACCTCAATTCTTGGGGGCAAAGAGGACGGGCAGCGCGTGTACCAAATTTCAAATTCAAGAACAGAGCAGCTGGCACGAACTGGCGCGCAAAGTAAAGCAGTCAATCAAGCACTCTGGAACACCTTTCAGCAGCACCTCAGAAGTGACTCAAAACTCACCGCTTCCTCCCTCGAAGTCTCTGGGGTAGCACCGCTTCTGGTCCCGCCATCATGAGCCAATGCTAGAGGGTCGGAGAGAGCTGCGTCCGCCCCCTTGCGCTTCGCCTTCTTCGCCGCAGCAGATGAAGCAGCAGCAGCAGCAGCAGGCTGTCGTTTCCCGCGTTTCGATGCTCTCTCTCGGATGCCTTCAACGTGCTCTCTACCCTTTTCGAGGAGCTCAACTTCATCAGCAACCACAGATTGCACAGGTTTTCCAGCTGCCTCGGTGGTACCCTTTCTCAACAGCTGGCTGATTAGCAGTATCCCGCGGATGTGGTTCTTCCGCTGCTGTCTCACTACCCTCTCTTCCCCTCGGATTTCGATTGTGCGGTCTACCTCCATGAGGCTGCCACGAGCCACGGCCAGGCCCAAGTCGGGACGGCCGTCCTAGAACGAGATTAGGTCTGATGACCTCGAGAGTGGTCTCCTCTGTATGTAATTCGACCAAGCGGAGTCGATTGCCGTGGAGAACAAGGCTTGCGTCGGCGATGTTTGCGGTGAAACAGGATGCGCCGCATCGTTTATCTTGAAAAATGTGGGGGAGATTTTTTTTTTTTTCGTGTTTTTTTTGTCGTCGGTTGGTCTCGCCGAAACGTTTCTAGAACCGGTCTCCATTTTTCATACCGACGAAAACTCGTTCTAGGACGCAATTCTCCGGCATATACCGGAAGGTGCCATTTGGCAACTGACATACGGTTTAATGTGAAGACAACAACAACAACAACAACAAACGAAAGAAACATGTATAAAATGAAGGAAGGGAGAAGGGAGACAGAGGGGGGACTTTGGTCACATTTTCTTTTTTTCACCCATTATTGGACTCTGTCGTCTACCCCTCTGGCCCCCACCCTCCACTTCTGCTGGCTAGACGACCCAACCGGGATCACGTATGTGTCGTTGGCCAGAAGTGGCTCTTGCATGTGGATCTGTGGAGAGTCGGGGTCTACGCAGATAGGAAATTCCACCGCATTCAGGAGTTATGGTACAGTCTGTGGGGACCAGCGTCTGAGGAGCTGTGAGACACGCGCGGAGCACCTGCTCGCGCTTGCGATCACGAGACCACCTAAACATGAACTTCAAGGCGTGCTGTGGTCTGCTGGCGAGCAGTAAGGATGATGCAGACCACGACTACGAGGACATGGAGCAGGACCCACTGCCCAAGCCGCAGACGGCGGCAGATCTACGCCGGAAGGTCAGCCACGGCCCATGGCTTTTAAGAAATGATTTTTTTTTCGTTTCAAATACATGTCCAGCGGCGCGAAAAATGTTTCGCCTGCTCGCCGCTTTTAGGGGCAAAGAACAACGATAGCAAGCGTGGCATGCTACAGCTTAGCCTGTGCCTAGTGGAGCTGCAGAATGAGTCGTTGCGGATGGGTGCACGGCGCTGTGTCATCCCTTTGTGAGTCAAGACGTCCAAACGCGTGGAGTACTTGCCAGAGGGGGCGTTCAGTTGCTCAAATCTCTCAAGTTTGAATTTTACGGACCTCAGCATCAAGCACCTCTTCTCTCGTGCTGCTTTGGGGACTGGATGTGGGCGAGGAGGGGAGGCATCCAACGTCAAGCGAGCGGAGGGTTTTAGACGCACGTGGTGTACGGTTCCTCTCCTTGGCCGCGTCGCCTACCAGTTTTTTCGGGGTATGGCGCGGTAAGATGGCACCAGAAGTAGGAGGGGCAGACTCACAGAAGCGCTCACAACGGCTCTAGCCTACGCGCAACAGGATGGATGACGCTCGTGCCACTGAACCACCAGTACCCTCGCATTCGCCGCTAGGGCTCGCTTTGCGCCCCCCCTCCCCGTTCAATCGTTCGCCGCCGTGCTCCAGAGTTGTCTACTTCACCCGTGGTTCAGCGGTGTGTGCTCTTTCGGAGACATTTGCATACGTGGTAGATCTGTAACTTGTATAGCTAGACTAAAAGTATAATAGCAGCAGCTTGTTGGGCGCGATCCACTCCGAAAACCCAAGGGTTCCGCCGGCGTTCAAATGAAGGGTCGCCCCTCTTCCTCCCACAGCATCACAGGACCGTTTATTATGGCGGAATGCCTTCTTGCCCCTCCCAATGAAAATTGCTTTCGAGGAAATACCCCTTGATGTTGACCTTCCTTTGCATGCGAATTGTCCCAATACCAACATAGGCTACATATGCATCGATGCACACACGAAGTACATTGTACACGGTCGAGGATACACACGGTCGTTACACAGAGAATGAGCAAGAGTTATCCAGAAAGTGCTTGTTTTTGGTAGCTTTTAGTGTTAATTTAGCGGAATGGTTTTCTGTCTCAACGGGACGTCGACAACCATCTTTGATTTCGACTACAGGATTAAGTTCGACTACAATTTATTTGAGAACCGGCGGAGAGGGTAAGATACATGACAGGAACAATGATACAGCCTAGTTGGAAGGGTATGGCTCGGTCAAGGGAAAAGAAAATACGGAGTATCCGTTGGGGTTCGCTCGGTGCTTCCGTCGGCATTTTTATCACGCCGCTTACATTCCCCTCTCCGCACGCCGCCGTCACCGTCTGCAATCTGCAATTACAATTCCAAAAACTGCTGGTGTCCTGTTGTGTACAAAATTTACTTGAAGAAGAAACAAAATGTCTACGCACAACTTGAAGACGAGCCAGCGAAGGTCTTTCCGTCTTTTCCGTGTTATTCCAGGAGTCCTATCATTATCATGTTCTTCGTTTGTGGGTTTCTCCTGTAGACGAGGTGCTTTCGATTTGTAATGTCCCTGCCTTTGGCGGCTGCAGCTGAGTTCGGAAAGCCCGGGCACATCCCCATCCCGCACGCATCTGAATCCAAGCTTCATCTTGCTTAAACCTCATCTCCTGGTCTACCGGAACAGCAGTTCACACCATGTTGTTAGATGCCTTTCCTTTTACACCGATGGGCAGCTATTACTACCCACGGCGGCGGCGCATGTTTGGTTTTGGGTCCGATTTCGGCGGAGTTTGTTAGACCCAACGGTAGCCTTGGATATATATCCCAGCCTGGTCTGAGCTTTACCAAACCCCCATGTCATCATTCCACGTACATACCCTGTGCAGGCAGCAATAGCGTTTTCAAGGCATTGAGGTTGTCTCTGATTTTTCATCTTGCAGGGTACAGCCGTACTGGGTTCGAGCCTCCCGACGTCGTTTCAGCATCCCCTTGTTATTCTGTTACCGTTAGATCGTGTGCGCGTCTACATGTTTATCGCAGTGCGCAGTGCAAACAGTGTCACAACCACGTTTTTATATGTAGAATATGTCCCATGTATATCCGATACAAGAATGTAGCACCGCATTTGTTTGCCCCCGATGCTGTGTATACGTGAGGTGGCGTCGGGACTTGTCGAAACCAAATGGTTGGTACAGCACGACAATGTTTTTTGCTTTCAGATTTCCTCTACCCTCAATTCCGAACCCCAATACCGAAAGAGGCGGAGAGATTCCACCCCCCTCAATGAAGCAAGCTTGACTGCTCCAACCACCAAGTTTGTAGATAAGCCAGCACCAATGGCGTCGGGTTTGGAACATTTTGTCGAGTCTCCGCCTCTTTCAGCAGTAGCACCGGCTGATGTGAGGGAAGCGCACCGTGGATAAATGCTCGGCTGGTCTTGCGGCGGAGAGAGCCCTTAAGCCGCAACCTGTGTATCGTTTTCACGCCTGTCATCACGCGCCCCCGTGGGCAACAGCAGTCACAAACGACGACGGCGTTGACGTACGTACGTACGTACTCTCGGAAATTTGCAACACGACGTGGTGTTCCGTTATCGGAAATCTACATTCACGTATGGTTTAAGCACTTGTGCCTTTCATACTGCTGTGCCACCTAAGGTAGTACCCGACGACCGACGAGTTGTCGACCGGTTGCTGCAGCTACGTCAGAGCCCTCCGCGTGCAGCGTAGCCGGCAATGGCTAAACATTCGTGCACGGTGAAATCGGTCGCGACCCTTTCGAGGTCTGTTCTCTGCCACAACATCCTGTTCACGTCCCCCGGCGTGAACGTGAACCCCCTTCTCTCGGGTAGCCAGCACACACATCCAGCCGCTTCAAGATAGCCCGCTCAAAACCGTCAAAGATAGCCCGGCTGTGTGGGGGACACGCCCGTGATGAACGGGGTTTAACAATCTCCGCCAGGGGTATATTCTCCTCGTATCACACAACGCCACGCAAGGTCTCCAGAGAGGCACACACCCAGGCACCACGCATGACCCTATGCCGTTGGTGTAGTAGATGTTCCGTCGACAAAATCGCGATCTGCCGCCGAGCTGCACCATCTTTCATGATGCACCGCTTCGTAGAATACACAGCTGCAGAGGTCACGCAAAGGTATGTATCGCATATAATAGACACGTGGTCACGGATTGAAGCGCTCCTACCCGGCAGATATGCTGTGCACGCTGGTGTAAACGGATGAAAAATGAAAGAGGTGCACAAGACAGCCACCAAATTGTCTTGTTGACCCTGTTACCCACAGGGCAGATATCGCTGTGTGCTGCTCGGGAGATCGTGGAAATACAGGTAGCTTCTCTGACGCGATGAATTCATTGCTAATCTATCTTAGCCTATTTTCTTATATAAAGGTGGATTCATTGGGTCATATGTAGCAAAAAAAAAAAACAGACACTACAGCGATACCTGACACGATCCCCCCTCCGCGACCCCCTCGCTTCCTCTCCCCAAACGTGCCGTTCTTCGATTTCACGAACATTATGCGACGACGACGCTGGACACAACAGGAGCTTTACGGATCAGCGCCATCTTTATCGGAGCCCTCCCGAAACGTATACGCTGCTGCGGGCTATTCCGCCAAGGTGAGGACGATCCTTGTTAGTCATCAATTGCGGATTGGTTGAATGCTCGTCGTCTTTTTGCGGTTTGTCACCAATCCGGAGTGGTCGAAGTCTTCGTTGTCTCTGGTTTGTCGTTATTCCAGATTGGTAGAAATGCTTGGTGGCCCTCTTTGGTTTGTCGTCAATCCGGATCGGATTGTTGGATTGTTCGTTACCTGCTTTGGAGGTTCTGATCGCTAGAAATTGAGGACATTGTCCGCAAGGGGGTCTGCCATGTGAGTTGGGGGAGTGAAAAGATAGAGATGGTATGGACTCTCATGGCGGAAAAATGGAACCATGGGTAGTACGCTTTGGTGTGTTGCGCTTCTGGAGCAAAGTTTTCGCTCGTTTGCGCACCCTGTTTTGTGTTTCCTAAACCCACATCGACCGCGCAAACCGGCTGACCAGTGAAAAGACGCGTATGTTTGTGCGTATTTGCGTGTGCGCCTGCCTACGTGGCAGCAGGCGGTCTCCCGAGCGGCCTCGATCTCCGACGCGACAAGGTCCGACCGAACCGAACAGCGGAACGCCTTGAGAGCGGGGGCTTCGGCCTCCGGCCCGATTACCACCGCCCAACACGACGAAAGAAGCCAGCAGGAGCGACAACCTGACCACGTGCCGACCGTGGAGCCGCTCACGCGCGCCGGGAGCGGGGGGGGCGGGGGGTCCAGGAGCGGCGCAAGCGGCA